TGGTGCTGGAGATTGAACCCAGGGCCTTGTGCATGAGAAGCAAGCACTCTACCAACTGAGCTATATCCCCAACCCTTAGTATGCTCTTGAAGGAAAAAGGAACCATTTTTGTCTTTTCTCTAAGGCATTTTAAAAAGAGTGATAGATGCTTTTGGTGAACAAGGAGTACCAAAGAGCAGTAAATGAGAGGGAGCATCTTCACCTCTGAGGTTGGGATAAGAAAATTGAGCAGATGCTTTGTGGAACTGAGTACTGACCACAGACTCAGGTACAGAAAAATGTTATGTTCTATATTTTTAAATTTCATTTAAAAAAAAAATCTCAACCTAATTCCTATTTTTCAGTTATAGTTCCTTAGTCAGTAGTTAGTGTTTGTTGTTTTGTTTTGTTTTGTTACAGGGATTGAACTCAGGGGCACTCAACCACTGAGTCACATCCTCTGCTCTGTTTTGTATTTTATTTAAAGATAGGATCTCATTGAGTTGCTTAGCGCCTAGCTTTTGCTGAGGCTAGCTTTGAACACATGATCCTCCTGCCTCGGCCTCCCAAGCTGCTGGGATCATAGGCATGTGCTACTGCACCCAGCCAGCCAGTTAGTGTTTTTTTGATTTGTGAGGAAGGTGTAGAGTATGCTAGCATTAGGTGAGGATTCATCCTTGCTGTTGTCTGGAGATTCTCCCCACCTTCACCCTGGGGAAGATATTGCCCTTTGGGCCCAGGATGGTTGCAGCTCCTTCCCTATGGGAGAAATCTGGCTGATCCTAGATCTTCCCTAGCATGGGACCACAAGGGCTGGGGCTGTCTTGGGTCTCTTCCCTGCTGTATGCTAGGGAACTCCACAAGCTCTTCCCTCCCCAGACTCCATCAGGAAGAAAGAGGAAAACCTTTTTGCCCTCAGACAATCATGACAAGCAGGTTGCTCTAACTGTTCCATCTCACTGGCCTCTACTGTAGCTTGAGACCTTTCTCAGATCTTTTTCTTGTTTTTCTTTTTCCTTCCTGTTTCCCCTCAATCTCTCCCACCACCACCCCAACCCCTAATCTATCTCTATCTCTCTTACTACAGAACATTTGTTCATGCTTCCCAAAGGGAAATTCTGACCCAACCTAATTGAATAGTCTTCTAAATCCATTCTGAATGTTATAAGTCAAGACTCTAAAAAATAATCACCTTCCTATGAATCAATGGGACTCCTGGTATTTCTTTTATAACATTGGTGTCAATCCATTTCACTTATTCATATGCTGTTGGTATTTTAACTTTGAACAGTTAACTATTAGATCAATTAAGAATAAAGAGGGGCTGGGGCTGTAGATCAGTGGCAGAGTACTTGCCTGGCATGTGTGAGGCACTGGGTTCGATCCTTAGCACCACATAAAAAAATAAAGGCATGCTGTCCATCTACAACTAGAAAAAAAAAAAAGAATAAGGAAAATAAGAATTTTATTTTACCTTTTTTTATTCCTTCTTGTTCATTCTTTCTTTATGTGGACCTGAGTTTTTATTTATATCATTTCCCATCTCCCTAAAGAACTTCTTTTGGTATTTTGCTGTTGTTGTTTCTGGGCTGGTGTGGCTCTTAAGTACTGTACAACTCTATAAATTTTTTTTCTGCTTTGTTCAAGATCATGGAACAACAAAATAACAAAATGTGTTCCAGTTATGTGCTGCCATTCCAGAAATGGCCACCAGATGTCGGTCCTCCCCCAATTTCAAATGTCTAAAGACATTGGTACAGTAAGGAGGACCTGCATCCTGGGGCTGCCAGCCACCAGGTGGTTTAAGTTTCTTGGTCTATCAACATTGCATAAAGAGAAGCTGTCTATTCTCCTTCTAAAACATCCAATGGTTCTTTAGGAAGGGAGAGCTGAATCAAAAAGATAGTATACTGGGACATTGAAGGTGAAGGCATCTTTAAAACAGGGTTAACCCAGAAAGTACAGATCAAAAATGAGGACAGGAAGGCTAATCCTGTAGTTCTGTGTCTGAAGACCAGGTAAGGACCAGGATGGCAGCCTTTCCTTGGGAGACTGAGTCCCTGAAATCATCATACCTTGAAGAAGATGAGAAATCCACTCCCAAATCATCCAGGGACACAAATGTGTTTGCCTCCAGAGCAAGTGATAGGTACAGCTGTTGGGGGAGGTAATTAAGGTATCATGGAAGAGCAATTTCTTCATGAAATTATTTAAATTCAAAACTTAAGATTATGCTGGCTTACATCTGAAAGCTACTTAGTTTTCAAATGTTTGGACCAGCATAACATCCAAACCTCTTACTATCGCTTTTGGGACCCTCCACAGCTATTCCCACTCTTCTTTTCTCACCTATCATGTACCCTACCCCAATCCCCCACTATATCCTTTGTCAGGGGCAGATGCCTTTTGTCCTAAAGTCTCTTCTCCCATTCCTCACTTCATTCAAGATCCACCTAAAATGTGGGCCCAATCTTTTCCTAGGTTTGTGGGGACCTCCCAGGGTGGCACAAGCAGGACCACATATAGCAGCTTAATTCTAAGGGGGACCATTCTCATTGGAGTCTGTGAGGATAGTGCCCCTGGTGTTCCAAGGATTGTACAATGCTGCTGACAGGCATGCTAGGGTCTCTCCTCTCTGGGCTCACCTCTACCACCAGCCTCCAGACAGCATTCTTCCACCTTGCAGGGGCTCTGCAATCACAAGAAAGTTGATGAGGAAGTGGATTATGTTCAGGTTGGTGGTACTATGGCGTCTCAAGTGTCCCTTTGTTTTAAATGACCCTGGATCTCCTGAGCCCAGTAGAGGCAGGTTTTGAGGTGCAACCTTACCCTGCATTCTGCTACATAGCTGCTCCTTAACAGCCCTCAGCCACAATTCCTTCGCACACGGATAATGTGGATTTAAGAAATTGCTCCCAGAATGGGTGTAGTGACAAACACCTATAAACCCAGAGACACAGGAGACAGATGTGGAAGGATCACAAAGTTCAAGACCACTCTCAGCAACATAGTGAGAACTACCAAGAAGGAAAGGAGGAAAGAAAGAAAAAGAGGCAAACAGCCACCTGGATTTATTTGATCCCTAGTACTGGGGGGAAATTGCTTGCTGACTGATTAGACCCATAATGTAACAGCCTTCTATGCCCCCACTGCCTGGACCTGCACTGGTCAGCATGTGTTCCTTCCTGGCATAGGGGACCAAGAATTGAGGGTGTGTGTCAGTGGGCTAGGCAGATAACTTCCCAGAGTGGTGGTGGAGGGAGAGGCTTCCAAAGGTTTCTTTGGCACCTTGAGCCTCTGCCCAGATTGGGAGAATCTAGTCAAAGCAGGCCTTTGCCAGCTCTAGCACTTCCCAAGGGAATTAGGCATTAAAGGTGGCAATAGTTTGACTAAAGGGCCCTTCTTCTATATTGTTTCATATTGTCAGGAATACCTCTGGAATTTCTAAAAGGAAAGGGCTCCAGGGAAACAATCTGGTTGAAAGGTGATAAGAAATCAGGAGAACACCTACCAATTTGCCTTGAAGCTTTGTTTTACAATTTAATACAAACAGCAGCATTCCCATAGATGCCATATTCACACTTATATGTGGACATTCTTATAAGAGTTTGATTTGTAAGATTGATCAAGATTATAGAGAGGCAAGCATTTCTTGATACAAATCATGCCATGGTTGAAAGGAATGTTCATGAGCAGTGTTGGCAATAAGGAAATGTGATTGGTTTTAGCATCCAATTGGGCCACTTCAGCAAGGAATACATTGGGAATGAAAACTGTCTCAAAAATAAATAAATAAAAATAAAGAGGACTGGGGTAAGGTAGCTCAAGGGTTACATGCCCTGTGGGTTCATTCCCCAATACCAGAAAAAAAAAAAATGTTGGTGTTTTAAGTACCAATGGAGGAGAAATTATGTGGACTGACTTCAAAGGGAAAAGGTGGGAGAAGTGTCAAGATAAAAGGAGGAAGGTTTAGGAAGACTCTCCAAGACTAGGAAGGTTCAGAAGTCTGTAATGTACTCAAGAAGCTGAGACACCCCTCCCCCCACTCTCTCCATATACAAGGAAGAATCTTTCCTTCCAGAAGCACCAGTCTGGTAGGTATACCTGATACAGTCTTGTATGTTTAAGAACAGGGCAGGTCATAAGAAATGAATCATTAGGCAGTTTCATCATTTCTTGAATAGCATAGGGTGCATTTAACCAAACCTATATGGCGTAGGTCAGTCACTCCTTGTTATGGCCTATATGTAGTCAAGAGCTATAGGAAGACAGGTGCCTCAATGCACATCTGTAATCCCAGGGACTTGGGAGACTGAAACAAGAGGCTCACATGTTCAAGGCCAGTCTAAGCAACTAAGTGAGAACCTGTTCCAAAATAAAATTAAAATGTCTGAGGATGTAGCTCAGTGGTAGAGCACCCTTGGGTTCGATCCTCAGTAGTTCCAAAAAAAGAAAAGAAGTACAGTACATATTTTAGTCAGCATTGTGTCACGGTGACAAAAAGACCCAATAATAACAACTTACAGGAGGGAAAGTTTATTTTGGCTCAAGGATTTGGAGATTCAGTCAATGATCGGCCGATTCTATATTTCTGGGCCTGAGGTAAGGCAAAACATCATGACAGAAAGGTGGGACAGAAGAAAGCTGCTCAGTTCATGATAGCCAAGAAACAGATAGTCAGGGAGAGAGCAGGGATGGAGGGAGCTCTTCTTACCAAAGACAAAATATAAACTACAAATGTATGCCCCCAGTGATCTACTTCCTCCTACATACTATACCCTACACTCCTTACCACCCATCAAAGAATTCAAATGGATTAGTCCACTGATTAGATTACAGCTCTCTTAATCTAATAATTTCACCTCTGAACATTCCTATAATGTCTCACACATAAGCTTTTGGGGAGGACATCTTATTCCAAACCATAACAGGACAGTAAGTACGTAAACCAGTAATTTAATAATTTATTGTCATTATCAAGTATGTGCTGAATATAATTGTATGTACTATTTCTTTTCCTGTGGTGTGCTGGGGATTAAACCCAGGGCCTCTCGCATGCTAGACAAGTGCTCTACCACTGAGCTATACCACCAACCCTGTTTATTTTATTTTGAGATAGGGACTCATTGAATTTCCCAGGCTGGCCTAAAACTTACAATCCTGCCTCAGCCTCCCAGCTAGTTGGGATTACAGATGCATCACACCATGCCTGGCTTGTACTGTACTTTTATATAAATGGCAGAAATATAGATTTATTTCTACCAGCATCCCCATATACATGAGAATAATGCTTTGTTCTATAAAATTGCAAAAAGAAAAAGCTTTTCAGCTCTATTACAATTTTATGGGACCACAGTCATATGTCCTATCATTGACTGAAACATCATTTATTTGGTACATGGCTATGGTGGGATCCAGGTTCAGATTTAATTTCATTTAGAAAAATACAGTAATGTAGCAGAGTGTATTGGCACATGCCTATAATCCCAGCAACTTGGGAAGCTGAGACTTGAGGATCACAAGTTTGAGGCCAGTCGCAGCCACTTAGCGAGCCCTTAGCAACTTAGTGAGACCCTGTCTGAAAAAAAAAAAAAATGGCTGAGGATGTGGCTCAGTGGTAAAGCACCCCTGGATTAAATGCCCACTATCAAAAAACTAATTAATTATAAAAAAGTAAAATACAGTAATGTAGACAGAGGAGCCAGCACCAAGTCTAGGGTATATGAGCAATGCCTTTAAAGTGAAGGAGTCTGAGCTGGGAGTCAGGTACAGGATTAAGTTAAGTAGCATGGAAGGCCAGAAGATAGAGATGATAGAGACCTGGGGCAGACATAAGGCTCAGGGTAGTATATAAAGGAACCATCCTTTCTTAAACATGAAACAAAATTAAAAGACATAGTGGAAATGCTGAACAGAGTTATGTATAATTTTAGTGAATAAATTACATCATAATAGTCTGAGAGAAAATATTTTCTACATAGATTAATTCTGATTAACATCCCAAACCCCTACTTATCCATAGCCAAAGGACAAAGAGACTAACAATGTTTTGCCTGCCTCCAGCTTATTTGTAGCCTATAGATTGGTGTGTCCATTTAATACAAGAAAATGGAAACTGAATGACCAGATGAAATCTTCCCCAACATTGGAACCAATGGCATATTTGGTAATTGCCCTGTAGAAGACAGGAAAGAGGAAAAAGCATTTAAAAGGTCTAAAAAGAGAGATGAGATGGTTGAATTATGCATTCTGCTTCAGAGCAAGAATGCTGGGCAGCAATTGGAAAAGGAGGTGATGCTATTAAAGCTAAAATAATATATTAGACTAAAATGCCATTGTCTCAATCCTAGACAGCAGTGGCCCCACGCACATATTGAATATCAGTGCTGATATTGAAATAACTGGAGAAATTTGGAAAAAAATTATCTCTTCCTTGGAAGAGGGCCTGCAGCTGCCATCACCCACTGCAATCTACCATTCGAATCTGCTATGGAATGTTTAAAGTACCTTTGACTACAAGTTGAGACAGTGATTCTTCAGTCTGGGAGGAGGAATTTTGGGGTCAAAGGTCTAAAAGAACTCTGAGGGAACACTAAGACAAAAATCAAGTTTTTCCAGGAATTCTGTCTTCATTCCACTGACAGAGTTGTTCTATTAGAGGAAAGCCTGATAGGATGATATAACACATAAAGATCATCCTTGATCTTATATCTGAATCTCCCATCAAAGGATATGCTCAGCCTTATAATCTCAATTTTTATGATTCTGGTGTTTTTACAGTGAGTTTTGATCACCACTCTGGATGTCCTGTGGGATTTCCCATATGGGAAAGAGGTAGTTTTGACAGAATGGTCCCTGGTCAGGGTGGGTGGCCCAATCCTCATTCTAGAAGAGAATATGATATGAACCCTCATCAAGATCACCACCTCCTCCTCCTGGTGGAGGTGGTCTGGGTGGTAGCTGGTGTTGGAATCTTCCTCTCCCAAGCTCTTAGAAAGGGAGACCTAATGACCTATGACAGGGAGGAAGACCTGGAGACTGCTATGATGGCATAGTTTTCAGGGCAGATGAACTTGGAACTCTGCAATAGTTCTTATGCAGGGAATCATGTTTTATGTGGGAGAGATACTGGGGATTGAACCCAGGAGTGCTTTACTGCTAAACTAGGTCCCCAGCCCTTTTTATTTTTGAGACAGGGTCTCACTGAATTACTTATGCCCTTGCTATGTTGCTTGAACTTGTGATCCTCCTGTCTCAGATTCCAGAGTTGCTGGGTTTACAGGCAATTGCCACTATGCCTGGTTTATATGGTGATCTTGGTGGACCTATTATTACAACATAAATAACTATCACCAGAGATTTGGCTAGACCTATTATTGGCAAAGGTGATCAGTGTATTAAACAAATCCACCATTAATTAGGAACATCAATCAAAATTGATAAAACTTTAAAAGGATCTGAAGATGGGAGCATTACCATTTTAGGAACACAAGACCCATACAGAATGTATCATATTTTCTGCAGAATAGTGTGAATCAGTAAGCAAATGTTGAAGGATTCTAATGCAGGATAATTTGTGTGTGTGTGTGTGTGTGTGTGTGAGAGAGAGAGAGAGAGAGAGAGAGAGAGAGAGAGAGAGAGAGAGAGAGAAGCAGTATTCTGGAACGTTTTTCTAAGACTAGTGACGAACTGAAGGAATCCTACAATCTTTTTAAAAACCTACTTTTGTTTAAAAAGGCAGTAGTCCTATGATTCACAGGCTCTCTGCATTTGTGATGCAGTGAAATCTCTGCTGTTCACCCAGATACAATGTTTTAGTTCCTTCCAAACATTGTTGGTAGAGGGAAAGGCAGGCAAAAACTTAACTTTGAAACAGCAGCAGAGAGAGTGAATTTAAATTTTTGTTCATTGTTGGTGATTTAACCTCCAACCCCTACCCCATAATTATTGTGAGCACCTTACTTTGTGGTCTCTATAAACGTTTGAGGGGATGGGACAGGAAGGAAAGTAACAATAGTCTACCTGTCCCTGGCATCTGTTCAAAGCAGTGTGCAGAATATAATGCTCTTTGGTAAGAAACATTCTGACTTTTAAAATAAATTTAATGAACCTATAAAAAAGAGAGCAAATTTATATGATTAGGTAAATAACAAAAGAAGAAATACAGTTGACCAATTAGCTTATAGGAAATACTCAACCTCATTAGTAATCATTGAAATGCCAACTTAAAGGATATACTATACTATCCACTAAGGTGATAATAATTTAAAGATTATTACGTATATTGATAAATACTATTTCCTTAATAAAGAATTTATTTATTTACTTACTTACTCATTTGGATGACTTGTCTGGATTGAACCTGAGTCTCATGCTTCCTATTACTACTAAGCCAAACCCTAATCCCAGTTCTCTATCTTGATTGAATCCAGCTGTGATATCTCTTAGTCTTTTAAAATCTGAACAGTCTGCCTTGTAATCTTCATATTTTGGAAGAAAATAGCCAGTTGCTTTGCAGAATGCCCTTTACCTTGGGTTTGTCTTGTTTTTCCTAATGCTTGGATTCAGGCTATACATTTTTGGCAGGAATATCATAATGAATGAAATGAAACTTAGGGCCTCAAGGATGCTAGGCAAGTGCTGTACCACTAAGCTAAGTCCCCAACCTTCTTGTTATTTTAAATAATATCACATGATCTACATCTTTGTCTTCCTGTCTTTGTCTTCCCTTGCCCTAGTCAGTGTGATTGGGTCAACAATGAGCCAGTGCACATTTGATTCAGGATTTTTGCCTAAACTAAATAAAGGGAAATTCTTTTCTGCTATTCTTATACCCCAGAGGTTCCTTGAGTTGCAGCAGCCATATTGGAACCATAAGGGGAGAGTCAGTTTGGGAATGAAGAAGCACATGGAGAAAGAGAAAGGTCCCTATAACATTGTTGGACTGTCTCCATCAAGCACATTGAAAGCAAAACCAATTCCTTGGACTTCTTATTTATCTGAATAAATAAATCCTCTTGCTTAAAACAGGTTGTATAGTTGTTGTTGTTATTATTATTATTATTATTATTATTATTATTATTATTATCATCATCATCATCATCATCATCATTTGGTCACAAACCAAAGAATCTCCATGATAAGATCGTGTACATTATTGATATTTTTTTGTATGAAAAAGTCAGATCAAATAACCTGGACATCTGAGCAGCAGAAAATAAAATAGTGATAACATTTGTATTAAAAAAGTAATTCAGAGAAAAGCTTCTACTTATTTATGTATTTTTGGTACCAGGGATTGGACCCAGGGGCATATAACCACTGAGCCACATACCCAACCCTTTTTATTTTTTATTTTGAGACAGGGCCTCATGAAGTTGCTTAGGGACTCCTAAGTGGCTAAGGCTGTCTTTGAACTTGTGATCCTCCTCCCTCAGCCCCCCAAACCACTGGGATTACAGGTGTGCACCACCACACTCAGCTGAAAAGCTTCTTTTTAGCCACAGATTTAGTCTTTGACTACTCTGATTTAAAAGTGAGCATTTTTCTTGGCAGAGTTGCCTTAATAGAAAACAGTGTTTCTCTATAATGTACAAAAATTCTTTAGTAAGTTTAGGTGTTTGATAGCCTAAAATGGTATTTACAGAACGAATGGTTAGCATTGAGGTTTAGTCTTCTGAATTTCATCAGGGAGTTTAAAAAAAATAAAAAGCTCACTGTCCTTTCAGTTTTAAATCAGGAAACAGAATTCTACAATCCCATATTTTGTCACTAATCTAGGTTTTCTGTTCATTTTACCTGTAAGAAAGTGAGGTTCAGAAGAATATATTTGTTTATCCTAAGCTATGACCTGGGCCTAAGACCCAGGACTTAGCAGATGCCTGACAAACTGTAGTTGAATAAATGGAAAAAGCAATGGAATTACTATAGTGACTAGCCATAGTTCCTTCTGTTTGTCTGGCCCTAACTGTTATAGTTTGGATCTGGAATGTTTCTCAAAGGCTCCTCTCTGGAAGGCTTGATCCCCAGCTGATAGTATTGGGAGGTGGTGGAAAGTTGAGAAGGTGGGGCCTAGTTGAAATAATTAGGTCAGTGGGGGATGCCCTTGAAGGTCATATCTTGTCTGAGTCTCTTTCCTTTTCCTCTTTTTCTCTCTTCCTTTCCTGTGTGTCAAGAGGTAAGAGTCCTTTTCTGCTCCCTCGTTCCCACTGCCATGGGCATTCTGCCTCATTTTAGACCCAAAGCAATGCAGTCAACTGACCATGACTGAAATCTCTGAAATCATACATCAAAATAAATATTTCTTCCTTTTAAGTTGTTCATCTCAGGTATTATGTTACAGAGATAAAAACCTGAGTAACTCACTAGCCATTGGGTTTCACCAACCCACCATTTGCTTTTTCCACCATTTGCTACTTCCACCATTTGCTTTAGCACAGATTTTCACTAGTGTTGGCTTCCCAGGTCTTGCCTGATACAGATTCTATGACACATTGATATCTAACAAGTTCATCCTCTCCTTTTCAGGGAACAGTGCCATAGGAACCAACCAACTTTATTATGATATCTCTCTCTCTCTCTCTCTCTCTCAACCCAGAGTACTTAACCTCTGAGCCATATGTGTGTGTGTGTGTGTGTGTGTGTGTATATATATATATATATATATATATATATGTATGTATGTGTATGTGTGTGTATATATATATATATATATATATATATATATATATTTAGAGACAGAGTCTTGCTAAGTTGCTGAAACTGGCTTTGAACGTGTGATCCTCCTGCCTCGGCCTCCTGAGCTGCTGAGATTACAGGTAGTACCACCATGCCTGGCTTCATGATCTCATTTTATCATCTCTTTATACAATGTGTTGGCCATAAAATTAATTTATATTATTTATTTGGGAACCTGAAAAACTTTCTCTCTTCCAGGCAGTACTGAGTCTCACCCTATGTACTTTATGGAAAATGTCCTGGATGCTTTAGAATCCTGCTTTGGAACTTCAAACAGAGAAATGAAGTCACATAAATGAGTAAAATTTTTTATTTTATGTTACAACTTCTATAATTGCCCAGGTATCTGAAGTCTTGCTAATTCTCCCTCTGAAATATCTTTTACATCTTTCTCGCTTTCCTATTCCTATAGTCAGTGGTGTGTGATGGAACTTGAAAGAGCCAATACTTAATTTTCAGAAAGTGGTCAAGTCGGTTATTATATGGTTGACATCTTGAAATATTGGTAATATTGGTAATATTCATACCACAAAAATCAGCAAATGATACACATCAACTGCTTCTCATCTTTAGCCTGAACTGAGCAGATGGTAGACATTTACCAGCATCTCACCACATATAGGTCTTTCCCTAATTTAAGTCTTTATTACCTTTTTTTTTTTAAGTTGTAGATGGACACAATACCTTTATTTTATTTATAAAAACCCATATGGGTTCAACCCCATATATAAATAAAATAAAGTATCGAACCCAGTGCCTCACCCATGCTAGGCAAGCATTCTACCACTGAGCTACAACCCAAGCCCCTTTATACTTTTTGCATGGACTGTTAAAAAATCTTACTAACCAGTATTTCTGCACTTGGATCCTTCTCATTCTAGCAAATTTTTAGAGTATTTTTTACTATATGTAACAGAAAACCTCATTACAGATTTCTTAAATATGAGAAAAAATTATAATTTCACATACCAAATAGTTCAAAGATAGGGCACTTTCAAGAAACCCTACACCTCACAGGCTCACTAAGTGCTCAAATTCTTTCTATTTTTCAACATTGCCCCACTCATCCTGTTAGTATTTCCCTTAATGGCTTCAAGACAACTGTCATGATTCAAATATCACATCCTTTCGTAATGACATTTATATGTTTTCACTACATACAATCTTCTAAAAAGCCAGTAAGCAGGTTTCCCCTTGAGTCTCTTTTGACAGAATCAAAACCCACACTTGGTTTTTGTTTTTTTGTTTGGTACCAGGGATTGAACCCAGGGGCACTTAACCTCTGAGCCACATCCCAGCCCTTTTTTATATTTAGAGACAGGGTCTTGCTGAGTTGCTTAGGGTCTCACTAAGTTTCTGAAGCTCACTTTGAACTCTTGATCCTCCTATCTCAGCCTCCTGAGCCTCTGGCATTACAAGGCATGTGCCACTACACCCAGTCCACACTGGTTCTTAAGACAATCACTAACTAAGGTAATAGAATTACCAAGATTGGTTCAGATCACTGGTTCCCAACCCTTTAAAATGAACATATTATTATATATTAAATATTTCATAATACTCCTCTTTTTTGAAATGAAAATCAAAGATGATAAAACCTACCCACACACATAAAAATATAAATCACTGGCTGGGGATGTGGCTCAAGCGGTAGCGCGCTCGCCTGGCATGCGTGTGGCCCGGGTTCGATCCTCAGCACCACATACAAACAAAGATGTTGTGTCCACCGAGAACTAAAAAAATAAATAAATATTAAAAAAAAAGTATTAAAAAAAAAATATATATATATATATAAAAATCACTATAAACCCTAACTGGGATATAAACCTGAAATAAAGATAATTATTAAAAATTAAGGGGCTGAGGACATAGCCCAGTTGGAAGAGTGCTTGCCTTGCATACACGAGGCCCTGGGTTCAATCCCCAGCACCACCACCAAAAAAAAAAAATTATATGTATGTGCATTTCGATATATATGACAAATTGTATTATGGGTCCCCATTATTTCTTGCTCTCCCTATATCAGAATTATACACCTCAGCCTGATGGCTTGTGACTTACATTATCTCAATTTAGATAAGGCTTGCTTTACAACTTGCTTTGACCAATGTTATATGAAAGAAAGTGGCACGTCTGAGAAAAGCTTGAAAAGCCATCAAATGACTCCAGTATTCCTCTTTTCCTTTGCCATAATAACAGTTTTACTTAGCTTTCCATATGAAAAATTGTGGAACAGATGCAAAATAGCAACTAATGTGTAATATGAACAACATATACATCTTTGTAGTTATAAGCCATTGAGATTTGGCAAGGGGCTGTTTGTTACCATAATATAACCTATCAAAATCTGACTAACACAATATGAAATAAGATATTCTAGCATATAAAAAAGAAGTCTGCATTTGATGAATGTTTTCACCTATGTTTTGTGACCCAGCAGCTTTAGATAAACACTGATACCAATGAAAGAATTTAGAAACCAAGATATTTCTATTAGTCCCACGATTTTCTGCAGTGGTGATCAACTCTTAGTGAAGCTGTAAGTTAAAAAAAAAAAAAAAAAAGCAAAAAAGCATCCTACCAGGAACTGTGGCACACACCTATAATCCCAGCTGCTAAGCCAGCCTCAGCAACAGCAGGTGCTAAGCAACTCAGTGAGACCCTGTCTCTAAATAAAATACCAAATAAAGGGGGTGGGGTGGGGATGTGGCTCAGTGGTTGAGTGCCCCTGAGTTCAATCCCCAGTACTCCACCCAAAATAAGCATCTTTCAATTTATATAGTAGTTTACATCCTGGAAAATGAAGTCTATAATAAAATTGGGCAAAATTGGTTGCTGCCAGACTTATATAATTATGAAGAAATCCTTCATCTACATGAATGTTAAGTCATGGGTCTATTTATACAAAGTTAAAAAACGGGCTGGGCACAAGGGCACACACTGTAATCCCAGCAACTCTGGAAGCTAAGGCAGGAGGATCACAAGTTCAAAGCCAGCCTCAACAACTTAAATGAGACCCTCAGCAAATTGGCAAGACCCTGTCTCAAAAGATAAAAAGGGCTAGGGATGTAGTTCAGTGGTAAAGTCTCCCTGGGTTCAATCCCCAGTAACAAAAAATTCTCAAACATATACATGCTGTTAGAACATACATGAATGTGTGACTGGAAGAAGGCACTAAGTGTGTTCAGTTTGTGAAGATTAATCAACTGTACACCAATATATATTTTTCTATATGTATATTACACTATACTCACAATCATGCAGGGCGTGGGACAAATCTTTGATGTGTGGGTTTGTCTTATGTATTACAGTATATGAAGCATTTCTGGTCATTGTCCATGAACTGTCAGTAGGTAGTCTCCCTAAATAATTGACAACACCAAACACAATTTTATCACAAATTTCTCTAACAGTGAACCCCTGGGTTCCTTAAGTTATCCTAATCAAGCCTCACTCCCTGGGCTTGTCTGCTTGAAGCTCATTGACTACCTGATATCTAAATAAAATTAGTCTTTCATTGGTCAGTCTTCTCAGGCAGGGTAGAAGGGAATGAGCGGTAGGTGTTATTGTAGTAAGACCCTGTCTCTAAATAAAATATTAAAAAAAAAAAAAAATAAGGGCTGGGGATGTGGCTCAGTGGTTGAGTGCCCCTGAGTGCCTCTGGTAGTGGTAATGATGATGGTGGTAGTCATAGCAATGGTGGAGGTGGTGGTGATAGTAGAGGTGGTGTTAATGGTGATGATGGTGGAGGTGATGATAGAGGTGACAGCAGTGGTGGTAGCAATGATTGGTTAGTTAACCATCTGTGTCTGCCACAGAATCTTCCACACACATTCTCACCAATATCTCAAATCACTTTGTCCTCATTTTCCAGAATCTGCAGTGGCTTCCAATCATCTACAGAATAAAACACACTCACTTATCTTTCTAGACTATTTTAAGGCTGATTTTATTCTCACTGAACGTTGCCTTTTCCCTTCACTTAACATGCTCTGGAGTCACAATGCAATGCTTCTTCTGTTGAGAAAATCCTGCTCCCATTCTTACTTCTTTATTCAAATGCTTCCTCTTCCACTAAGAAACTTCTATCACAGAGTTAATTTCTCCTTTGTTTACCTGCTATGGGTTGTTTGGTTTTTTTGTTTGTTTGTTTGTTTTTGTTTTTTGGGTTTTTTTAGTATTTTTTAGTTGTAGATGGACACACTACCCTTATTTTATTTATTTATTTTTTAATGTGGTTCAGAGGATTGAACCCAATGCCTCACATGTGCTAGGCAAGCGCTCTGCCACTGAGCCACAACCCCAACCCCTGGGTATTTTACTTATCTCTCTCCAGCTTTTTCTTCATAGTAAGTTAGCACAAATCTTTTACAGCCTCCACAAACTTACTATAGTGATAGGCACTCACTGGGTGCTCAAAAAAATGCTGTTGAGTTAAATTGAACAAGAACACAGCTACTGAATTTCACAGAAATCAAGAACCCAATATCCAAATATTTTAACTGGTTGAGACCTATAGTTTTTCCTCTGATTTGAATTCTAAATGTCCCTCAGAGGTCTATGTGTTGAAGGCCTGTTCCCCAGGTGATAGTATAGAGATGTGGTAGAAACTTTTAATGAGATGGGTCCTAGTAGAATGCCAAAGTGCATTGTGGGACCCCTGGCTCTTCCTCTTTCTCTTTTGCTTCTTGGCCATGAGGTGAAGATGAGCGATTTTGCTCTACCATGTACTCCCACCATCATGTGCATAGCATAGAGGCCCGTATCAACAGGGCCAATCAATCATGTGCAGGAATTTCTAAAACTGTGTGCTCAAATAAATCTTTTCTCTTTTTAATTATTTCAGTCATTTTAGTGACAGCTAACACTGTGTAGTGTTTCCACCAATAGCTTCAAATGTGAATTAATGGTACTTCCTTCCTCTCATTGTAAGATTGCTTTTTGGACAGGACTCAAGGAGGGAAATTATTGTCTTCCCTGAACCACAGTAAAATGCACAAGTTCACCATGCTGGGACTCTGTCAAGGTACAACAGAATCAACTAGAGAACAAGGAGGAAGTCCTGGTAGCAGCTCAGTTTTAGCATGATATTTCAGTTGCATTCAGTATTGCCTATTATATCCTATGGGAATTACCAAATCAGTTAACAATAATCCTCCACTCTGGTTAACCTGGAAGGTATGTGTCCAAGTGACAGAAAGGAGTGCAGACTTGAGTTGGGAGAATGTGTTCAGCATTCTATCAAGTCACTCCTTTATGTAAAATACTAAGTGACTCCCTTGGCCTAGTGTCCCCACAATGGTCTGCTATGGCTTGCCTGTTTCACTCACTAGATTTCAAATTCCTTGTGGACTGCAGAGCACCTTATTCAAATTAACTACCCTCAGGCATGTCCAGTCCCCTGGGATCAGGCAAAAATGTGAGGAAAATCTCTTAAGCAATGTATCTCCCTGTCCTCCCTCCTTGGAAAAAAACACTCCACCCCTGAAATCACAAGTCTGTTTTTTTTGGCCCGGGTGTCCCAGGTCCCTCCTCCTTTAGGCCCCCTTCCCTGTGGGTCCTGAGGGTGTGACTTACCGGGCTGGGAAACCTGCACTCTTTTCCCTCCATCCCCCTCTCCACCACATTCCCACCCTTTCTGCAAATCACAGCACTGCTCAGCCAGCACTCCCTCTATTGGTAATGCTTCGGTGGAAGGTTTTGAGCTGAAGTTAAAAAGACAAAAAAGCCAAGATGTCCCCCCATGGTTCTGGACCTAATATTGCTTCTAACGTTCCTTTCCGCTGTTGGTTCCCTAGGTCCCACCTTTTTGTTCTTTACCTTTTTTTTTTTTTTTTTAATTCACAATATTTTTGGAGACTCCGGCCTCGCCCATTTCCAACATTTCTTATAGAGTATTTCCCCCCTTTCTTCACAGACTTTAAATCACGTTTAAATTTTTTTTTCTAGTGTGAATGAGAGCTATTAAGAGTCCAGAGGGAAAAAGTAGGACTCTAAAAGCTTATCAAAACAGATCCTCTTTTGAGAAAGCATTTTCCAGAGCGGGAGACAAAGTGGGGTTAAATTTTACGTGGGTGGTGAGCAAAAGCCAAGCAGCTAAGAACCCATGAAATCTTGTGGAGAAGAAGGTAAAGCCAAAATTGAAAAATGGTCCCTCCTAGCCAGCCCATTCTAGGACCCCCTCCTTTACTCTGCCGCATAACTCCACTCCAGTGAATTGGACTTTGCTGCAGCGGCACTGCCCACGCATACTCAACCAAGATAGATTCAGACCACGCTAGCCATGCCACGAGGTGTTTTATTTTAATTAATCATACAAATAATTTTCTATAATATCCCAGGGCAAACCGGAGAATTTGGCAGTCCGATTGGGTGTCCCCTCAGGTACCAACAGGCCGGTGGCATCGGCGCGGAGTGCCTGGGTTCACAGTGCAGCTTGTGGCTCGTGTCCATCTTGCAGGTGGCTCTTCCTCCACATCACGACGGGGGTCTCAGAGATGATGGGGGTGGGGAATCCTCTAGGCTCTTAGGAAATTTCACTCCGCTTTTCCTGCTCAATGGCTGCGGAGAGCGGTAAGCGGGCACTGGGGGTTGAAGCACCTTACAATCCCCACAAGCGATGCACTCCAAAACCTGATGTGAATGAGGCACCCACCAGGTCTGGGAGTTAAGAGGCTTGGGGCGGGGGAGACAGAGCACTTTGTGTAACCTTAAAGGTAGCAGGGGCCGCCCAAACCAGGGGCATTGGCCGGGTGGGGGTACGGTTGGCACGGGAAGGGCGGGTAGGGGGACTGCGCATGGAGGCCACGGACCCGGAGGCTGGGGCGCACTTACTCTCTTTGGTCGGCAGGGTGTTCTTCTCCTGCGTCTCGGTTTTCTTCAGCTTGGCCTTATCGAAGCTGGCGATTTCCCCCATGTCCGGCTTGTCTGCCATTTTCTTAAAACAATACTAGTGGGCAAACCACTGAAGTTGGCCAAAGGCTGGGGCCAGCGCCCCCTCCCCGCACTCTCCGCCACGCCTCTCGACTAGGCACTCCCTCCCGGGCGTTCCCGGCAGCGCGGAAGCCGAGGTTCTGGGTGCGTCCAGAACCCCCCTCCGAAGAAGACCCAGGGCGTGGCCGACGGGCTCTGGAGTCCCGCCAGGGAACGGCGCCTGTTGCGACCGCGGCCGCGGCGCTCCAACGGGTAGCACCAGCCCTGACCCCACCCGGCCCGATTCCCGCCCCAGAGCAGCGCTCACCGTGAATTCTTGCTCCAAACCGATCTCCAGTTGCTCCCACTCGCGTTGCTGCAGCAAGAGACAAAAGAGTGGCGCCCGCCCCTCGGCTTATATACCCGGAGTCCCGCCCCGCCTCTCTCCCGCCGCAGCGGGGGAGGTGCCGGCACCGGAGGGGCGGGGCAGTGCAGGCGGCTCACTCCCCACCGCGCCCTCCCGGGCCGCGGGCTGGACTGGGCGCCGCCCTTCCCGCGCCCCGAACCCTAGCTCGTTGTGTTTCGAGGTGGGGGAGGAGGCACTGAGCCTGTGGGTTTTCTTTTGGGGCTGCGTACCCCTTCCTCTGAGAATTGGCTGCTCAACCCGCAGGAAGGGCGTGGGGGGAGGTGGGGGAAGGGATGTGGGGGAGAGAGAGAGAGTGTGTGTGTGTGTGTGTGTGTTTATGTGTAGTGAGTAGTTGTGGAGGTGCGGGCGTGCCCGGTCGCTGCAGCAACCCTTGCTCGCAGGCGACTACCCACCCGTGTTGCCCCACGTCTCTTGCATTTGCCCCTCCAGAATCCCCTTCCCTTTCCCCTTTTCTTATGTCGGTGCTCCTTAAACGCTGTTACAAGCATTGTCTGAAGGGAGGAGGGGGGAGCCGGGAGTCCCTAGATGGCGCACGCTGTTCCTTCTCCCGCCGGCCTCCTAGGAACACTATATTGGAGGGTGTGGCTTTCCTCCTTGAATTAACCTTGAAGATGATGTGGAAAACCTCATTTCTACAAGCGTTCTTGTCTTTATTAGCCCGTGGCAGGAGTGGAATAATGTAATTATTCAAATCTTCCCTAGAAACGTTGAATTTTCACCCTGTGCAACACCTTTAATACTAAGTTCCATTATTTAGCTGCACAGGGTTGTGAAGCTGGTAACTACCACCATCATCACCATTGTCATCTTCCTCCTCCTCCTCCTCCTTTTTTTGTCTTGAACTTTCTTTTTTTCCATTGTCAAGGAGTATTGTCAAGCTCTATTAAAGTGGGATTTGGTGGAAACATTCTAACTTCTGTTCAGTCCTTGCCTTATTTTATCTACTTTTTCTCATATTCCCTCGGTGTGTTTGGAACAGTGGGAAGAAAGCTTAGATTTATTGATTTGTTATATCAAACTCCTGTGTGATATTAGGCAAGTATTTTCCTGCACCTTAGTTTTTTCACCCATAAAATAATGAAGCATAAATGATATAAATAACAGGGACCAAGTGGGTGCTTAATATGCAGTTCCATTAGAAGGTCACTTTATTATTGTACTGGTCAACACATGTACAAATACTGTGTAAAAAGCACCCCAAAACCCAGTGACTTAAAATAATCATTTATTCTCATTCATATCTGCAGGTCAACTTATGCTTGGCTCCTAGCCAAAGGTGTCTCATTCTCTGGTCTTGGGGTTAGCTGGAGCTTGTTCTTCTCAGGATGATGGCAAGCCAGCCAGAGGGCTATAGAACAGGAGAATATAGAAGTGTTAAAGTGTAAAAACATGTCATATCTGCTAACTTTCCACTGGCTAAGCCTGTCGTTAATGGCATGGAGTATATTCCAGTCATGGTAGGAGAGGAAGGGGAGTGAACATTTCCTGAATGAAAATCAAACTTCACAGTCTGGTTTGGCAAACAAATATAAAAGCAGACTTCAAGGTGGCTTAAGGAAATAAAAGTTTATTTTCTACCTGTGCAGCAATATTCTATGTTAATTTTCTGATCAGGGAGCTTCCTTCTTGGTGGCTCAGGCTTCCAGTCCCCTTCTCTCTTGTTACCATGCGCTCCTAAGTCCTGGAAGTCCATTCCATCCAGCCAGTGTATGAGGAAAGAGGAAAGGATAAAGGACTGTTAGCAAGAGATATCACTTTCTAGTTCTTATCTTCTTGAAAAGTATTTCAGTCAAGAGGTTTATATAGAAAAACAAAAATATTAAGTAAAATGGAAGTACATGGAACAGGCCACCTCCAAGAGGTAAATGTCCTGGGGTTTTCCATGTGGCTGGTGTTTATATTGGTCTGGAAACCTCCCTTCTCATATATTATGTATTTGGGGTGGTTACCATGGTTTCTCACCAAGGCTTAGTGCCTTGGTGCTCTGAGCAGGCCTTAAAGTTGGAAACTCCCTTAGGGTGGTTATATCTTTTTCTTTTTAGTTTTTAGAAGGTAGTATCTGGTGGTGAAGGAGGCTGGTTTATGGGCAGGGTGGAATGATCTTTTGTCACTCAAGATAAAATTAGCCCTACTTTATCTCCCTCCATTCCCCTGCTCATACCTAGCTACTTATACTAATAGGACTACTCTAGATTTTTAAGGACCAGGCTTAGAAGTAGTCCCTATTACTCTCTGTCCTTTTTTATTTATTTATTTATTTATTTATTTTTGGTCAGAAGTTGGTCTCATGGTCTCATAAAACTGTAAGGGAGGATGGGAAATGTAGACTAGCCATACTCTGGAGAAAAAGAAAGCAGTGTTAGACCTGAAGCAGTCTCTGCTGCCTACCATTAAAGAATTTGCTAAACTTGAACATAAAAATATCCAGAGATTACTACTCTTTGGAAGGTTTCACTGGTACTTGATTACTCTTCACATGTAGTGAATTCCTAGGTCCT